AAGGAAATCAAATAACAATGCTGTGCATGTTGTAAATCAGATTGGTATCTGACTAAAATAAGCTTACGAGATTAAGTGTTTCGCTTTGTTACACCAGAATGATATACACTTTTATTACACTATCATTGTCGAGAACGTGGCGTCATTGCCAGGGCAATTCATGGAACACATTTGAATTTATTTTCTACAACATCCGGTCTTGTTATACAACTAGTGTGCGTCATTTCATTGTAACAAAACAAATTGTTTTTTTACCCGGTAACAGTTGTAAATTACTGAGATACATCGATATCGTTTTTCCCATTTATTGTCAACACCATCATAATTATACCAATGTGAATAGACTGGCCCAATCATGTAGAAATGTCAAATAAACGTGTGACATATGCATAGCACATATGTATGCCTGATTTATTCAATTACGGCATTTCACCTGCTTCATTAGTCTCCTCGTTTTATACAACAAACATATTATTTTTCGTAAATGGATTTATAAGGTTATTATTGACCTTCCAATTTAAGTTACCATAACAACAGATACTCACCCAATCGCATGTGCTGCATCAACTGCAAGAGGGCGTGGTACTATGCAATAACCATGGTCAGAGAAGCCTTCGACCGTGTGTGCGATTTGGATTAGATGGTATCATATGTTCAAACCTAGTGGATAAGTTAAACAATTAGGTAGGGCACGACTGTCTGTATTAACGTATACCAATCAATTACCTCACGCCATCAACGACGACATGTTGTCATGGTGTAATGACAGGATGTACATAACGATCACTGGGGCAACTGTAGCGCTCTTCGCTGGCCTAGTAAATGTGGCATAACAACCAAAAATATGAGGCATATAAAGATGGAAGGATTCTCCTACTTGGCGTCCACATTCTCCGGCTTAACTGATCACGGCAAGAAACGACACAAGAGGGCAACAATTATGGAAACTGCTATATGGAAGATACATAACGAAGGTCTTAAGGTTTACGAAGAAAATGCGAGCGACATTGACACAACTAAAAAGTCTATACAATACATCACTCCTAAGTTGATAAGAGAACAGTGGACAGGTCTTATGGATCAGTTTACCACGTTTGAAGCATTGGCGATCGGACCAGGAAGAGGTAAACACTTTGGTTATTATGGTGTATTATTATAGACTGTGAACTAACGTCGTATTCACATGTACTATGTTTTATATATCTTTTGCCAAAGTTGTCAATGGGTAAATTGGGAAATAAGCATTCTAACAATTCGGATGACAATTATTGATAAAGTGTTGAACAGTAACATCTTAGAATTGAGGGTTTAAAATATAATTTAAATATAAACTACGAACCCAGTATGTGTTTTATAGATATGTTTTACAGTTTTCTTACTCGTAACAACATTGTCTTGTTACAAGAAAAACAAACAAATGTTAGTCAGCCACGACTTTAGTGAACGAGCGACTAATCCAAAGACGATGTCTCAATAATGTGTGTTCTATATTACAACATGTCCATAGTTAGATTACTTCCTACAAGTGACGGATGGCTCGGACAATCACCTCGGCATGGAGGCTTCGTCATTATGTTTCTATGTACTTGTATTTAGGATTAACGCAGAGTAGATATATAAACTGAAGTATCTGTAATAAATCAATATGATTGTCGGGGAATAATTCTTATGAATATAATTACGACAGTCCACCACTTCAACAATTATATAGCTAACATGTTGTATTTGCATAGTGATATTATGTGACATATACCTTTGAACAATTCTAGCCGCTGGCGTAATTTAGGTCAATTTTAGTTTTTTTTTTTTTTTTAGTTATTATGACCTTCGGCTGTATTTACACCAGTTATTAGGAAAAAGCAATATATGTTTGTTTTTTTTAAATTAAAAAATGTCCAACACATGTTAGCGGATTCTTGCATAATTTAAACCCCGC